GTACGTAGTACGACGACGAAGAGAGAGAGAGAGAGAGAGAGAGAGAGAGAGAGGGATTGCAAACCTAGAGAGAGACGTAATGTTTAGAGATCACATGAAAAACCCCATTAATTTGCAAGTTGTTGTGATTGCAAATTGTGGGAAATGTAGCTTGGTATACCCATGAGAGAGAGAGAGACCACTACCCCTTTCGATCGCCATGAATCCATAGAAAGAAATTGCATCTCCCTTTACCCCCTCTGATCCCTCCTTTTTCCCTTGTGTTCTCTTTTTTCGCATTTCCATTTTCGTTGTTTACTCATCTCTGTTATTTGCTTTTTATGTGAATATAGATAAGGGGAAGGAAGAAAAAGTCTACTTTTTACGGATGAGTTATCACTATTGGAGTGAGAAGAGGAGCTTGTGGAAAAGCAGGCTTGCAGCTTTGCAACTTCAATTCAGAGACTGCTTTCGTGTAGCTGTGGACAAGCAAAGACCTGGCCATGGTCACCACTTTGACAATTCTTCTCGAGCTTTGCGGCGTTTGACTTTTCGCTTCCAAAATCTCTTCTCAAATTCCTCTTCTTCTCCATTGATTCTCAATCGCCGTGGACCTGGCAAGTCTCTTCTCTAACCACTCATAGTCATTCTTTGTGTTGATTTCTTTCTTTTTTCAATTTCGAGCGCATAATTCGTATTTCATATGTAGTTTACGTATCTGGAAATTCTTTTTTTAAAAAATATTTTTCAGTTCTTAGGGAGGTTTCTCCACAATTCCTCTGAGAAATGGGTATTTAGGTTATCTCTTGATTAGGCATATATCATACCTAGATGCCAATCCATTTCGTTTTTTTGCCACAAGCAGGTTTTTACGTCTTCTAACTGAATTTTTGTAATCACTTTTACTTATTTATAACCCATTTTCTCTTTTTCTAGATGACAAGATTTATTTAGGTCTTGAAGATGTTGGATAATCTATTCATGAAATTGCTCTAGCTCCATTGTTATTTCGTTTTTAAGTTTATATATCTCTCAAAACATCCTCCTAGAAAACCACCATGGCACTCTTCCTAGCCCAGTAGCTGAACTTTCGGCACGTAGACCACCCGCCACCATTCTAGCTTGGTTTCTTGATTAGTGCAAGATAGTTTCCAAAAGAATGAAGATTTCCCTTGATTGTGCTAACTTCTGTTTTTTATCCATAACTTCGAAACATGTATAGGTAGGCCGAGTAGGTCTAAAGAGCAGACTGCACATCCTAAATATGTTATTTCATCGAATCCTCTTAGAAGGCAGAACAACACTGTCAACCCCCATTGTCATCATGGAGCTCTTTCCCAATTATAACTTTGGCCATATACCCTTTGTAACATCTCATCGCTAACTTTCTACATGATTTGAGGACACTCATCACAAAATTAGATGCCATTTAGTGAATGGTAAACATAAGATAGTGGCCGATGCTTGTGTTATTGTAATCCCTCTATATTGCTTTGATCAACAATTTACTTAATTCTTTCGGCACTAATCATAAATATGAATGATGACAAAGATCCCTCATTTCGAACCTCAGGATAGATGAGAAAGGCCTCAAACGGTTGCACTTGTAAGGACATAAGGTTGGCATTGAAAATGCCCTAACCAGGAAAATCCATTCAACATGATCATATTTCTTCTCCAAAATTACCTTTATGTGTTCTGATTCTGGTAACTATGGGCAACTAAGGACCACCAAGATTTATGTACATCTTACAGTGACTTGAATTGCCGCTTGCTCCATGTAAAACAATTCATTGGACTGTATGGGTGAGGTAGTCTGATGATTGCATTTGTTTCAAGAGTATGCCAAATTTTGTATCCACTGCAGTTGCCTAACACCACTGATCAGTGTACATAAAATTGGCGCGGCCACGGTACTTGCCGCTTGGCTGAGCCAGGTAACTCAGCCAAGTCCAGCACAATGCCTTTTGGCCCTAAATTTTTTTAAAAAAATAAACATTTCAAAAAAATAATAACCATGTAGTAAAAGTAAATTGAAACATACAGTGAACAACTTCAAAACAAAACAAAGTAAATTGAAACATAAAGTGAAACATAAAACAACTTTAACAGTTAAAACAAGCTTAAAAATTTAGAGAAAGAATGGATCTTAAGAAAACCGATTCACAGTTTAGGATATTTAGAAAAGACCAAAAACTACGAAAAATATAAAAATAGTGATTATGGCAAAAAACACTTACCAATCTTTACTAAATACATTCAAATCATATACAAAAAGATTATAAAACATTCCATCATTTTTTAATTTTTTTTTAGAATTTTTTTAAACAATTTTTTGAAGTTATCATTAATAAATTTTTTTTAGATTATCATTAAAAAAAAAAAAATTGAATTTTATTTGGTATCCCTGAGTTGTGCACCCAACTTGGGGAAAACTAGGCCTCACCCATAGTGTGATACAGAGTTACTCTCCCGAGTCCAAGTGGAATTGGCAAGTCACATTACACTGCCCACTGATCTTTCCAGAAAACTGAAACAACTGATTTTCTGAAAATGACAAAATTTCAGGACTTTCTGAAATGTCTTAATTCTTGATACTTTGAAGTCAATTGCACTTCCCCTAACAAAGCTTCTTGTATCAACAGACGCCGCTAAAGTTTGTGAGAATTCTTGTATACTGAATATGTACAAGGGAAATCAGACTATAGCCATATGGACAGTAGAAAGATCATAAGTCATTGGGTAATCATCAGCAATAGAAATGATGAACAGTGATGGAAAGAGATTGGACCCACAAGAGCTAGACATGTCAAAGTGGTTGTTCCCACACTCTTCACTGTACATCCCTTTTATGGATGTTGATGGCCCAAATCTGCAGTCTGTTTGACTATGGTACTCTCTCCCATTCTAGAAAGGAGAAGAACATTTCTTACTCCTCTTGCATGTCCATTTTTTCCATCTCTGTTATGGTCGTGCAATGGGTGTGTAAACATCTAGTTTGAATTTTGAACCAATACGAATAAATGATTTCCTCCTTTGGCTTTTGTTGTAATACTGTAGAGAAAGATATTGCTGCAATGGAAGATTCTGCCGTCACTCACATGCTTCGGGCAGTGGCTGTTCCAGTTCTAGGCAACATGTGTTATGTGTTTATGCATGGCCTTAATTGTATCCAGGTATTTATATGCTTACTTGATAGGCCTTTTGGGCTATTGAATATAAATATTTGAAGAATAAGTGTAGGCATTCTTTGTGTTTTTGCAGATTTATGGTGCAGAGAAACTTCATAAAGCTCTAACGCAAAGATCCATAGATCAATCTCTAATAACGGTATGGAAAAAATAGTGTTTGTTACCACTTTAAATACTCATTTGCTTCTACTCTTAGTTGTCTTGAGCTAGTCCGCATTTGAAGTCTCTCTCATATTCACTTTGTGAATTATTTTTGGTACTTTTTGGGCCCAAAATATCTGAAGCTTGATTTGGAGGAAACAATCTTTTGGGGGATGCAATAATTCAGATTAAGGCATAAGATTGGTAGATGATCTCCTCATTCCTTCCAATTGTGGCAGTTTGAAGGGTCCATTCTCATGAAGTGGGTTGCTCTTAAAGTTGTTTAATAGAGTGATAAATATGCTAATCTTTTGTTGTTTTTGCAATTATCCATTAGTGAGAGTATCCTGTGCACCCATCTGATCTTTTTCCTCTTTTCGTTGATTTTATATGTAAGATTTGATGTGCTTGAGCTAATTGAGACCGAAGGATGGTGACCTTAGTTGAAATTAAAAGTCTAGATTGACGTACTGAAATGTGGATGAGAATAGGAAATCATGCAACATATATATATATATATATATATATATATATATATATATTA